TTGCCTCAGCCTCCCAAGTAGCTGGGACTACAGGGATGGCCATAACACCTGGCCGGGCAGGTTTGAACCCTTTACCCTTGGTATATGGGGCCAGCGCCCTACCCACTGAGCCACAGGTTACTTTTTCAGGGGAAAAAAGACTTGGTTAAAATACAGGTTTGTTTAATTTCCTGCCTCAGTGGGCCTAGGCCTGAGCATTTTTTTTTTTTTTGAGACATAGTCTTGTTCTGTCACCCAGGCTGCAGTGCTGTGGCATCAGCCTTGCTCACAGCTACCTCAAACTCCGGGGCTTGAGTGGTCCTCCTGCCTCACCCTCCCAAGTAGCTGGGACCACAGATGTCCACCGCTGTGCTCAGCTCATTTTTCTTTTTTTTGAGACAGAGTCTCAAGCTGCTGTCGTGGGTAGAGTGCCATGGCATCATAGCTCACAGCAACCTCTAACTTAGGCTCAAGTGATCCTCTTACCTCAGTTTTTCTATTTTTAGTAGAGACAGGGTCTTGCTTTTGCTCAGGCTGGTCTTGATCTCATAAGCTCAAGCAATCCACCTGCCTCAGCCTCCCAGAGTGCTAGGATTACAGGTGTGGGACACCACTCCCAGCTGCCCAGCTAGTTTTTTTATTTTTTGTAGAGACAGGGCCTCCCTCTTGCTCAGGCTGGTCTCAAACTCCTGAGTGCTGGGATATAGGTATGAGCCATCATGTGCTTAACTCTAGCTGGCCAGAGTATCCTTATACCAGCCCTGCTTTCAGGTCCCTGTAGCTAGGGCTGCTCGGGGCATTGTCCCCATTATTCCATGGGCAGGATTCAGACTGCCCAAAGGAGCCAGATTACAGAATCCTCAGACCTTTGTGGACTCCCAGACCCCCTGGGCTGGGAATTCCATCCCCATAACCGTCTGCTTTCTGCCCCCCTGCATCCTTGATCAGCTTTGGCATCCAGCAGCCCCTGGCTCACCCCACCCTGCCGCCCTGGGCCTCTGTGCACAGAATTCTGACATGCTGGCCATTCCTCTGTAGATTTGGCTCAAATTGCAGGCTCTGGAGTCATACTCCAAGGTTATCCAGTCCAGGTGGTCCTTTTGCCTGCCTCAGTCTCCTTCAGTGTAAACACAGAAATGTTAATAGTGCTGACCGCAGAGGGTGGCTGTGAAGTGCTCAGCATAGTGCAGGCACAGGGGGGCTGTGATTATGACTGCACCAATTGCAGGACCAGTTACTTTCTTGTTTGAAGCCCAGTTGGGAGGTAGATGCTGCAAGTTGAGCTCTAGAGTGGAGTCTAGAGTGGGAATAAGTCACTCGTTCTAGGGAGATCTGGCTGGTCCTCACCACAGGTCGGTGAAGGATCATGGAATTGTAGAAAGAACTCCAGAGTTGGCCTCAGAGAGAGGGTCAGGTTCTGCCACTCACGGGCTTCCTGGTCTCTGGGGTCATTTCCACTACAGAAGGGAGAGAAGGTAGGTGCCTGCCAGCCTGTCAGGGAGTGTTAGGAAGAGCAGCAGGGCCTACAAGTTCGTGCACATCAGAGCACAGAAAGCTGTGTGTGTTTCCTGAAAGTGTCATTCTCTTTCTTACTGATAGATTTTGTACGAGCTGAGGCCTGGGGCCTTAGGGGTGAACCTGGTGGTGGAGGAAACAGAAACCAAAGTTAAGCACGTGATAAAGCAGGTAAGATGCAAGGCCCATGGTGACCTCATAGAGGTGGTGTGATTTCCCCAGCACAAGCTTGCCATCCCCGTGTTAGAGCAAGGCTTCCCAACGTGGTGCCTGTACTCTCTTCCTCTCCCCCAGAACTTATGGAGACAAATCTGGTCCTTGACGGGGAAACTGGCTGTTACTTGAAAATCTCATGCTGCATGTCAGGTGTCAACCCTTCAAAGCAAGACCAATGACTCTGTATTATAGCCAAAGACAGTGAGGCTCAGGGCAGCTCCAGACTAGCCGAGGTCATAGTTTCCAGAGGATTCTAATTCAGGCCACCTCAATGGGGGACATGGTGGTACTCAGTGCAGGGTCACCAGTTTTACCTAAAAAGGAGGTAGCCCAGAAGGGTAGGAACTGGCCCAAGTTCACACAGTGATCACATCACATACCGGGCTCTGGGCCCTTCCATCACACTCCTCAACAGGGTTGGCATGGCAAGGTGGGAATGCTGGCCTGCAGTAGGACACTCTTTTATGTGTCAAGATAGGGTGGTCCAAACAAACAGAGGGTCTAGGACAAGTCTCACTTTATACCCCTGGGTAGAGTGCTGTGACATCATAGCTCACAGCAACCTCAAACTCCTGGGCTCAAGCAATTCTCTTGCCTCAGCCTCATAAGTAGCTGGGACCACAGGTGCCTGCCACATGATGGCTGTTTTTATATTTATTTTGAGATAGAGTCTCACTATGTCACCCTTAGTAGAGTGCGGTGGCATCACAGCTCTCAGCAACCTCAAACTCTTGGGCTTAAGCAATTCTCTTGCCTCAGCCTACCAAGTAGCTGGGACTACAGGCACCTGCCACAACACCTGGGTATTTTTTGGTTGTAGTTGTCATTTGTTGAATCCAGCAGGCCCAGGCTAGATTCAAACCTGCCAGCTCTGATGTATGTGGCTGGTGCTCTAGTCGCTGAACTACAGGTGCTGAGCCAAGAGAGAGGGTCTTGCTCTTGCTCAGGCTGGTCTTTAATTCCTGATCTTAAATGATCCACCTGCCTCAGCCTCCCAGAGTACTGGGATTATAGGCATGAGCACCCAGCACAGCTACTTTTTTCTAAATAAAAGTTGGGAGAGGGGAGTGCACATAGGAGTCTTTTTTTTTTTCCAGGTGTTCGTATAAGTTTTGCTTTTACAAGAATGGTATGTTGGCTCGGCGCCTATGGCTCAAGCAGCTAAGGCACCAGCCACAAACACATAAGCTGGTGGGTTCGAATCTAGCCCGGACCCACCAAACAACAATGACGGCTGTAACCAAA